AAAGAAAGAAAGAAAGAAAGAATCAATCAACGCAGGAAACTTGTGCATATCACTTTTATATGAACTGCCAAATGAAAAAATTTGTGTGACTCACTTTACCGCAGTGGTCTAGAACTGAATCCACAAATTATCTGCAAGGTATGCCTACACTTACTAATAGTTTAGCTTGCTCTGGAAGAGTGATCTGTTCCCTTTTTCCATCTGGATACCGCAACATCAGCTGTGCTTTTGGTCCTAGGAATTAAAAAAACAGTTAACAGCAAAAAAATAAAATCAAATCAAAATTGAAAAACTCAGGAGCTTAAGATAAAGCCATTCAGTTATACCCAAATTTTAAGAAAAGTTAAGTCTATAATGCACCTTACCATTTACATCTAAGCCTTCCACTATTCCATCTGATTTTTCAGGTGACATCTCTAGTATGTCTGAATCCACAGAAGGTAACCCCTGGTGGTTTGTGGCTGTTCCAGGCTCAGTTCTGGCAGAGGGCTCAGTTAGTGGCCTTCTGTTCTCCTCTTTTCTATGCCCCAAATCTTTATGGGGAGACTTTCTGGACTTGGCAAGATTTTCTACCTCCTCTTCTTCATCGGAGCCACACACAGATATGAACTCCTCACTACCAGAAAAAAGTTCAGATTCAGATTCTTCATCTGAGCGGCTATCCTGTTTTGTCTGTGTTGAATCAAAATGTGTCTCTTGTAAGGAGGCTCTGATGGCAGCTTCTAGTTGACTGTCTTCACTTGCATCTATAAGGCTCTCCTGTGAGATGTGGTCATAAAATAGAAGTGGAAGGAAAAAAAAGTTAAACCAAAAAAACAGTCAAGTAAACAGGACATAATACAATACGTTTGCCATTATTATTTTCTGCAGTATGTATCTCTTCTACTCAATTTGAAGCTATTTGAGGGCAAGGACTTTGTTTCATACAGTCAAGTTGGAATGGGTATTTTCAAAACAAAAATAAAACATTGTCATAGTACCTAGCACACTGGTGATTCAAGTATAGCTGTTTTTTTCACATCAAAATGAACAAAGTAAGAAAACAGCTTATTCTTTGTCCATAAAAACACAAGAATCAAAAGTTATAAATACAGGCCAGGCTCAGTGGCTCACACCTGTAATCACGGCACTCTGGGAGGCCAGGTGTGTAGAGTACTTGAGCTCGGAGTCTGAGACCAGCCTGAGCAAAAGTGAAACCCCCGTCTCTATTAAAAATAGAAAAAAAATAGCAGAGCACTGTGGCAGGTGCCAACAGTTCCAGCTACTGGGAAGGTTAAGGCAAGAGGGTCACTTGAGCCCAGGAGTTTGAGGTTGCTGTGAGCTATGCTGCCTCAGCACTCTAGCCCAAAGGCAACAGAGTAAGACTGTCTCAAATAAAAAAAGAAAAGAAAAAGAAAAGAAAAAAAATGCCCAAAAAACTAACTCAACTCTACCATAATACTATATGCAAAAATTAATTCAAAATGGATCCATCACAGGGCCTGATGAGGTGGCTCACACCTATAATCCCAGCACTTTGGAAGGTCAAGGTGGGAGGACTGATTGAGGCCAAGAGTTTTAAGATCAGCTTGGGCAATATAACTAGACCCTATCTCTCTAAAAAATAAGAAAAATTAGTGAAGGTGTAGTAGCATATGTCTGTAGTTCCAGCTTCTCCAGAGGCTTAGGCAGGATTGTTCCAGCTTATACGTTTGATGGTGCAGTGAGCTAAGATCTCATCACTGCACTCCAGCCTGGAGGAGGGAGCAGGGAGAGAGGAGGGGGAGAGAGAGAGTGAGGGAGAAGAAGGGAGAATGGGGGGGGG